AGAAATGCCATTTAAACATTTAATCACACGAAATGCTGGACATCGAGGCCGGAGCTGAACTCACCAGCAATTCCCCCTTGGAAAGCCCTCTGTGAACACATATCACACTGAATACGAAGGGACGTCACGTCATCGGCAGAGGCTGGAATCAGGGCAGGGCCAAGGACGAGGCGTTCTAACTAGTGTTCCCTTCCTCAGACTTTCCTCTGGGAGTCCTGGCTCTGTATTCATGGGTTGGGCCGCTCTATATTCATGTTTGGGGCCATATTTGTCTCAATGAAAAGATGTTAAAACCTTTACAGCCAACTGTAGGCCAATGACAACCTCGCAAAAAAAAGATGTCCAAGCTCCAGCTATTGGCTCCCTTCTTAAAATAAGCCATACAGCCGAAACCGGTTTGGCTCTGTGGATAGAGTGTCGGCCTGGAGACTGTAAAGGTCCCAGGTTCGATTCTGGTCAAGGGCATGTATATTGGTTGCGGGCACATCCCCAGTAGAGGTGTGCAGGAGGCAGCTGGTCGATGTTTCTAGCTTTTTATCCTTCTCCCTTCCTCTCTGTAAAAAAAATCAATAAAATATATTTTTTTAAAATAATAATAATCCATACAGCCAGATTTCCACATACCAAAACACAGTCCGTCTCTGGGCATTTCCTGCCACAGGATGTCTTTGATCAGGATGCTAACAGGACCTGCAGTCTCACTTGGCTCATGAATCTCAAATTCCACCAAGGGGCACCTCTCAGCCAGGGAGGGCTGGCCGGTGGTCAGGCAGGGTCTTTGCTACCCAGAAGGCAACCGAGGGGTGGGGGTGGGGGCGGCCCTGGGACCTCAGCACTTTAGGGAGCAAACACAAAGTTCTTGGCACAGCGGAGCCCTCGGGCCTGCTGCTCCCCGCAAAGCCTCGGGCTGAGACTGACGGAGATAAAGTTTCCCTGGGTCCAAGTTCCAAACTCGGCTGTTTTGTTTCTGTTAAAATGCAATTGTTTTTCTCTGGAGTGTGTGGTGACTGCTCGGCGTCAGGAAGATGTATGAAAACCTCCACTTCAATTCGGCATCCCTTTTCTCCCAGACAAACATGGTCGGATTTTAATAAATCAAAGAGCCACACTGTTTAATAAAAATTTATTGACTTACAAGTGATTATTTATCAAAAGACCATTAATAGCCGGTACTGAAATGATGTGTTACTGGGTGGTGCTGGGAGACTAATAGGAAATCAATGCAGCTGGCCAGCCAGAATGCATATGAGCAGCCCACCCCCCGACAGCTAGCGCAATTCCACCGGCCAAATACACCAGACGCCACCCCTGGTGCAATGAAAAGTTCCCCCTTTTTATTTATCGTTTACAAATGAAATGATCAATACTTTTAATCTAGAGCAAAATTTATTAACTTTCCCATCGGAGAGAGACGTATTGACTGGGGGGAGCGGGAGTGGTGGTGCGGTGGAAGATGGATGGTGGGATGGTCGTCTCCTCACGTGTCCAAGAGCCAGTGTGCATGCAGCTGCCCTTCCAGCCCGTGTCCCAGGCCACGCGGGCGAGTGCTGCCGGAGAAACCGAGGCTGGCCACCCTGGACGCACAGTGCATGATGGGACCTACGACTCAAGGACTCGCATGCATCAGGGACCCTGGGAAACACTATTCCTGACCATTGAGGGTTTGGTCAACTCCAAAACCTCAATGGCTGAATGCATAGTCCCACCACTGGTAGGTGCTGCAGTGGAGGGCAGATACAGGATGTGCCTGAAGCCTGGTCGCTGGGCTGGGCACTCAGGGCTCTGGGCAGCACTCCCCACCGCCTCACACCAAACCTTGTATCCCCTCTGAAGAGCAGCAACAGGGAATGGGATCTCAGTCAAGAATTGTTCTGAAGTTGGATATAATCCCAACTATAGGATATAATTCCCATCTCCTCTCCTCACTTAGTAAAAGAGGGAAATAACAAGGTGTCATCTCAAACTGCTCCATCAAGGTTAGCCTGGCTGAGCTCTGGCCTGGCCCTCAGCTTTCTAGTGAGCTTCCTCTGGCAGGGAAATTTTATTACTGGCTGGGGTAAAAAGTCTTCCCAAGATCTGCCATCAAACCCCCTAGGTCCATAGCCACCAAGGCTGGGGACTCTCCTTCCCACCTGGGACACCCTCTAGTGGAGTTCACTAGCCCCATTGTTCTGGAGGAAGCAAATGGTTTTAAACTGACTTCTCTTAGTTCTGAACCCAGGTGACTTAGAGCTTAAAGCTGAAGTTTGAACTATGGGTTTAAAAATTACAGAAACTGCAGAGGTGGAAGGGCTTTAGAGGGCATCTAGCCCAGTGGTCAGCAAACTCATAGTCAACAGAGCCAAATATCAACAGTACGACGACTGAAATTTCTTTACAGAGCCAAATTTTTTAAACTTAAACTTCTTCTAAGTCTTCTTCAAAATAGACTCGCCCAGGCCGTGGTATTTTGTCGAAGTGCCACACTCAAGGGGCCGAGGAGTATCATGTGGCTCGCGAGCTGCAGTTTGCCGACCACTGGTCTAGCCCAAGTCCTTAGTTACGGGTGAAGGAGCAGTCAGGGAAATCCAGTCCAAGAAGCCAAGGAAATGTCACAGATTTGGAAGTGGGATGGTGCTCTCGACACTAATGAATGCCACACTTGGTTTTACTCTAAAAGCACCCTCTTTGCTGGGATCACAAGAGCGAGTGTCTTTTATATGCTCCTCTGTATTATCCCTGAGTACAATGAAGTTTCATCACACAAGCCCAACTCCATTATTCCAAACCAAGTATTCTGACTTATGGAGAACTTGGGGCCTGCAGGGTCCCCAATTAAAATGATGGAGCAGTCTGATGTATCTGCATGCTTGTAAACAAGTACTGAATTAAAATTTTAGAGATTTGTTGGGGTGGGGGTACAGTGTAATTCATCTCTCTTCTCCCCACTTAGTAAAAGAGGGAAGTAATCATTTATTAGTCTCCACAAGTTCTTTCTTTACATAGCAGTGATTCTAAACCAGGTTCCTGCAATACTTGTCATCAGCAGCCAGTTTTGATTAAAATAATGTGAGGAAAATACAGATAAAATATTAAATACCTATGAAAACCATAAAATAAATGTACTAATCAGCAGGCTTTTTAAAAAGGAAATTTTAAAAGGGACCTTCATCTCCCAAGATCCATTTTTAAAGATCATTTCAGTCAGCTTGAAAACACTAAATATCGCCTCTTATAAAGGCTGATAGTCGGTTTACTCTTGAATACTTTGTAAAGCAGTTCATAAGGCTGTTCTTGCAGTCGTAATAGTGTTTTTATTTGAGAGTAAAATGTTCCACTGGGTAGCAGGTAAGAGAAAACGGGGCGAAGAGGTTAGGCAGTGGTTAGGGCGAGTTACACTCAGGTCAGGCAGGCAAAGTGCTATCGATCAGGAGCCTCAGGGGCGGGGCTTCATTCCCACATCCCCAAATCGCAGGCCAGAGATGGACTTGGAGGGGTGAACCTACCATGGCTGGGGCAAAATCCCGAGAGGTGTAGTGACTGGGCCACTCGGAGTGAAGGGAAGTAGGGGAGAGGATAAATGGTAGAGGTGAGGCAGCTCTCTTCTGAGGGATTAGAAACTGGGAGATCCTTGACCAGGAAGCTGAGGGTGGCTTGGCTCTGGATCTGCCTTCAGTGCCTGCAGGTGGGTGCAGTGGGCCATGCTGCTTCCCTCTGGCTGTGGCAGCCCAGGGTGCACAGCCAGTCTCGCCCCCCCACGGCCTCCGCTCCTGTCTGGCCCTGTATTTCCTCATGGCTTTCCCGTCCTTACAGACTGCATCTGCCATCCTGCACTCTCTCTCACTCACCTGGACCCAACGTGCCCCCATCACACACCTCCAGGCCCAGGGTACCATCTGTGCAGAACTCCACATCTCCATCCCTGCTGGGAAGTCTAAGTTAACCAGGAAGAAATGCAAACAAACATCTGATATGCTTTCAAAGAGTAGCAGCAGAATCCATTGAACAATGCTATTCCTCAGACCAGAAGTCAAGCTTACACCGGCCAGCCCCGGGTTTCGGGTTCTGTAACTTTGTTAAGAAACGTGTTGCTTAGGGATACATCTAGGGGAGAAAGAATGAAGGGAAAATCCCCTCTATTCATTCACCGTCAGACAATTTTATTTACTCAAAAACAACTCCGAAGCCTGGGCAGCAGCGCTAAGTTCTGCCCTTGTCCTGCCACATCTCAGGGTCCTGGACTTGTAACACTGAGCTCCTTTATCCTTCACGCACAGCAGCACTTCAATCCCCACAACAACCCTGTGAGGTAGGTATCAGCACCCCTCCCCTCCCGATCCAGGTTACAGATGGGAAAACTGAGGCACGTGTTAACAAAGAGCAAGTCACATGGGAGTTTGGGGTGAGCACTGGAGTTTGAACGTGAAATGACTCTTGGTTCCCACCACACACTAGTCACTGGTCCATCTTGCCTCTTCCCATGCCCTTTGGTGATTGCATGAGAATTTAAAACTTCATTTAGCGGAAAGCCCCTGCAGACAACAGTTTTCATTTATCGAGTCTGCAAAGCCCCGAGGCTGGGGCGATGCTGGGGCTGGCCGGCCACACTGCCTGGCAGTGCCGCTCCTCACGAGTGGGTAGCCCTTCCCCCAGCCACGACCCTGGCATGTGGGTGTCCCACGGCCCAGCATGGAAATGTGGCTGAATCTTCCCCATCACTCAGCCCCGCGTGTGCACAGGTTGAGGGCTGACTTTAATGGCATTCATTCCTCCAACGGATTTAAGTGTAAAAGAAACAAGAAGGCCTCTCGTCCTGGGTGGCAGCACCCAGTAGCACTCGCTTCAGAGGGCGAGCCCGGGGCCCTGCAGCTCTGTAGAAGCAGGCGTCAGGCTCCAGAGCAGCCCGCAGACCCGAGCCTGGAAGGAATGCAGCAGTGGGGGCGGCGGCAAGGACTCCAGCTGGCTCCCATCAGGAGTGCCAGGGTTCGGCCCGGTGGCTCCGGCCAGCGTGAGGTGTGGGCTCAAGACCGGCTCCTGTCCTCGTGGTTCCCAACGATCATCTTGCTGTACAGCTTCTGCTGCTCCTCTTTGAAAGCATCCTTCACCTTCTCCCTCTTCAGACCACCATCCCTGGGGAGAGGAAAGCTGCATGTAAGGACGATGCTTCCTGCCCACCCTGCACCACAGCCACTGCCCTATGCTGCCCGGAACCAAGACAGCCCGGCAGAAACAAAGGTCCCCCATGGCCTCTCATCCGGGTGAGCTCAGAAAGTCGGTCTGGACTGTGGAATCCATCCTTTCTACCTCAAAACTCACTCCTGTCTGGGGCCAGAATTCACCACTCATGTTCAAAGTACTGTCATTGCTTAAACCTACCACTTTCTACTCCCACATTCATCCTTACCTTAAAAGAGACAAAGGAGGTCTTCCGGCATTATGGAAAGTGAACCAAGCTTTAGAAACATTGAGACTTACAATAAATTGATAAAATGGATCTGTGAAGTAAAATCTGTAAAGTTCAGATCCAAGGACTCTCCAAATTCATGCAAACAACAAACACAGGGGAAATAGCGTGTTCTTCCTTCTGTGCTCAGGACAGTACCAGGGGAATCCCAGGCTTCCTCATTTCCCCAAATAATGCGCTCCACTTGGATTTGCTTCTTTAGAGTCCCACTCCCACCCTATGTCACCTCAACTGTTCACCTACACCCTAGAATTCCACAGCTTCGATGACTAAAGAGAATCCATACCCCCAGTCAGTCCCCACCCACCCTTTTCTTGAGTTACGGAGCGGTAGGGGTGGAAGTCTCTGACGGAGCCCCATCACTGGACAGACATTACGCAAAGACCTCACTCCGCCCTCTCTCACCGTAGCAAAGGCGTCCTTTCAAAGGCAGCCACCTTGTCTTTCCTCAGCCTCGAGAGGGACCGTGAGCAGTGCATGTGCATTCTGGCTCTACAAGCCTGTCAGACCCGAGTTCAAAATCTGGCCCCAGTGTTTATTCTGTGACTTTGAACGTTGGTTACTTAATCTGAGTTTCAGTCTGTCATCTGAAAAATGGGAGCAACAATTCCCATACTTCCCGGAGCCCCTCTGAGGATGAAGTAAGATCTCACGGAGCACCCACAAATCTGAATTTCCACCTTCCCCACAATGTCCACTCCAGAAATGTCCTCCAGAGCCCTGCACTTAACCTTGGGGATCCTAAGATGCCTGATTGGGGATCCTAAGATGCCTGAATGGTTTCCCTGAGCCAGCACTCACCTGTCACTCTGCTGTTACTGGAGTATAACTACCTCATATCCAGTATAAGGGTCTGCAAACTGTGATCACAGGCCGAACACAGCCTGACACCCTGTTCTTATAAATGGCGATTTTGTTACACGCACGCTCATTTGTTTATGTGTCGACTCTGTGGCTTTCGTGCCACAAGGACAGAATTAAGCAGCTGCAGCTAATGATCCACATGGCCCACAAAGTCTAACATATTTATTGACACGACAGAAAAAGCTTGCCAATTCCTGCTCTAGTAGGTAAAACGTTTGCCTTTCTAAGGATGATCCAATTTTGCCAAATATGAGAGATCAGAAAGCCTAGTACTCCTAGGAGGTTTCTAGATCAGCATCAGGGCTCCCCTACCTGAAAGGACAAGACTGCTTGGTGCCCTGGCAGACTGGTACCAATCCCAGAGCTACAACTCACTGCTTTAGCCCAAGCATCCCAGGCTCCATGTCCCCCGAGATCAGGGTAACGGAGGGAGAGCAAACTGCTCATGCCCCAGGGACACAGGTGAGTTTCATTCTCCACACCAGAGAGGGGAGGAGTCTTCGTAAATGAGGTCAACAATTTAGCATTTCCTTCAGAAATTGACATTCTCTCAGACCCAGCGGATAAAAATCACAAAGACTCACCACAGCAGGTCCACGAGTCCTCCCTGCCTGGCTATGGCAGATTTCACCCTATTTGCAAACTGGACGGCATCTTCATCTGTCTGTAAGAAAGTGAAGGAGACCACTGAGCCCAGGCTCACACAGAGCTAAGTGAAGACCTCTGCAGCGGGGTACCTACCTCTCTGGTCATGGGAGGCAGGTACCAAACGCTGCAGACGATGGCCCAGCTGGTCATCATTCTCAGCAGGTACGTCACCATCCCATACTTGCTGCTGTTCCAGAAGGCATCACCGAACTGAGGGTCATACTGAAAAACAGTGGACAGCAGTTCTAACAATGAATGCATCCCTGGGGCAGTGTCAGTATTAGAAAGCTGATTCTAGCCTCCTCCACAAACACCTGTGAAGTAATGCTACTCCAGGCAATTCTGACCTCTAGAAACATTAACCTCCCTGACTAACCCCAAAGACGGCTGTAGATTCCCAGGGAGGACACCCCTAACAGCTTTCCTCAGACAACTGTCCTCCCTCTTTGATTAGTTTCACATCTTGCTCACTTATTGCCACATATACTCTAATATTTAAGTTTTCAAGCATATTGAAAAAGAGACTAAGATAATATACTCCCATATACCCATTCCCTAGATCTAATCATTACCAAAATTTCACCTCACTTGCCTCATCGATCCTCCTCCCTTCTTATAAACCCTACCTCCTCATGCTATTCCCTCATAAACACATCTATCTCCCCCAAATATATTTTCCCACATAGCTACATAACTACCAAGTTTTAAATACCATTTCTGGTGCCTATGACCCAGAGAAAACAATTAGAAAGCTTGCGATATGCTCCTGCAATTATGCACTAGCAAAGCCAGTTATCTGTTTGAGCAGGAGGCTCTGCTCTGATTGACTGTCAGTGCTCCTGAGTGAGCAGATGCACAGTGACAGCACAGTCCGCCCAGAGATGCTGCACCTCCCACCAGGACGTGGGCTTGTAAGATACTTTCATTTGCCAACGACTCTAATGGAGGCAGAGGCTGTGATTCCACAGGATTTTGTGAGAAATGTAGCCAATGCTGTGACGCTCATTCTCACCAAACAGAATAATGTAAGTGGCCAGTAAGCCTGTGGGAGGGGCCCTGGAGAGAGTTACAGAAGCAACAGAAGGAATTGAGCCTGAGGAGAATGCCCAAACAAAGCAGCATGGGACTGGTATCAAATGTTTGAAAGTCTATCATAGACAAGACACGAGACTGGCTTTGTGTGACTATAAAGCAAAGAGGGAGGACAGAGAGTGGAAAGTAAGAGGACGTGGAATTTTAAAAGTGATGCCACACAACCAAGCTGCCAGCAGGTGCAGACGCCCCTGCGGAAGAGCTGCGGAAGCACAGGCAGGAAGGAGGCTGTGCGGGGACCCTGCACTCGGGGCACGGTCTCAGTCTGACCTATGGGATATCTTAGGCCTTTCAAGCCTGAATTTTATGATTCCCAGAATAGAAATTGGACAATTATGCCTATTTGAGAACCCGAGTACTTTAATGAAGACATTTTGGTTTAATTACAGAAAATATGAAATTTAGACCTAACTACAGAAGGCTTAATAACATCACATTATAATACCAAAAGGAAACCAGAGAGAAGAATGAGTTTTAAACAGATGTATGTGATCTGAAGAGTGTTGTCCTGTTTTGTAAAGCACTAACTATACTGTATAGATTAAAACATGTGATATGTGTCAGTGTGTGAGTCCTTTGCTTAGGGCTGATTCTCTATTCCATGCTGGACAGACCCTATAGGGAGAAAAAGGAGGCAAAGAGCTCAAAATAGCAATGAACTGCTCAAAATCAGATGGCGACAATTTTGGTGGAAACAGTTTTGGTGGAAGTGTAGTAAGTCTTCAAATTGCTAAGATTATCCAAGTTTGATTAATGTAAACTTCACAAGACTAGAAAAGTATCTGTGGAGCAGAGTTCTTAATCTTATGTGGACTTTAATTTGTGAATGGAATGAAACTATGTAAAATCCACATGCCTTTTCTTTTAGCGAGGAGTCATAACTGCCCCAAGGGTCTAGGTTCCAAAACTGGCTAAAACCCCGCTCCAGAGCAGGGTGCACAGTGGGGCTCCTGACTGGCAGCATCAGCAATGCCCAGGAGCAAGTCAGAAGCACAAGCCCAGCACCTGTGTTTTCAGTCCCTCCCGGTGAGCTAATGCAGCTGAGATCCAAGGACCAAAGTGTTCAGTGAGCATGGAAGGCTTCTGTCCAGTAGTTTGTGGTTTTTTTAAAAATATATTTTACTGATTTTTTTTTTTTTAGAGAGAGGATGGGAGAGGGATAGAGAGTTAGAAACATAGATGAGAAACATTAATCAGCTTCCCCCTGCAAACCTCCAACTGGGGATGTGCCTGCAACCATCAAACATGCCCTTGACTGGAATTGAACCTGGGACCCTTCAACCCGCAGGCTGATGCTCTATCCATTGAACCAAACCAGTTAGGGCCAGTGGTGTTTTGCTTTTTTAAAATTATTTTGGTCTATATTTTTTGTTTGTTTACTTATTCTTATTGTTTAAAGTATTACATATAGTAGTACGTATGTTTCCTTTGGTTTGTTTTTAATAAACACGTATTGGGAAGCACTGGGTTCTCAGCACACTAAAATGCAGGATGGCATGCAAGCAGAGCAAACATCTCTCCAGTCCTGCACCCACAGCAGACACTGCATCCCCCCAAAGCTCTCGAGCAGCTCTGACCCACGGATCGCTGCCCTGCAGCCATTCTGCATCGGCCATCCCTGCCCTGGTGCTTCGCCCACCTGTAAGCATTTGCAAGAGGAGCACCTCCTCCCCCACTGCACCAGCTGTGCTGGCAAGATGAAGATAAAAAACCGTATTTTCACAGAATGCTCTGCAGACAATAGACAGACCCTTGCAAAAGTATGGAGACTAAATTCTAATTTCCTCACAGTTCAAATTTCCTCACTGTTTTACCCTGATTTCAACCTAAATACTTTAAACATGTTAACAAAAGCCTGTGTTTCTCAGAATAATGTAACAGCAAACTTTTAGAAAGAATACTGTGTATTTATAAAATCAGAAGAATGTGAAGGGGAAGGAGAGGGAAGGAGAAAAAGGAAAACTGAGTCCCATTTCTGGGTGAGTTTGAACAATTAGAGGTACCAGTTCCTAAAAGGTGGAGGGATAGACTAAACAGGCCCTTAGGATCCACTTCGCCTTATAAACACAGATGAGCCGCCCTCGCCCTCACACCGTCGTCTCCCCACCACGCACACCAATCTATTGGGGAGCACCCCACTCCCTGCAGTAAGTCACCCCTTCAGGGGGAACACCTTCTGTCCCAGCGAGGTTTATGAAGACAGGTAATAAGGGCGGAAATACACGAAGCTTATAAAGTGTTCCCCACTTCCTGAATCTGCTGGGGACAGGAGGCGTGGGCTGGAATCTGGCTGCTCCACATCCCAAGACTCCCAGTCCCTTCTAATAGGTTGTGAACAAGGCCAAATTCTCCTAAGCATTCGACCCACACGGCCCAGCCCAGGTTGCTCTGCCAGAGATCAACCCACTGATGGTGCCACCAGTGCCTTCCTCCATCTTCTCCGGCTGCATCCTGTTCCTGGCAGCAGCTACAATGACCACACACACCCTCAGAGGTCTTGTACCTTGATAGCAACAGGGTAAACCGTGGCTCCAATTTCAAAACTTCCCTTTTTGAACATCATCACAGATGTATTATTGATGCAGGTTCCTAAAATGCAAGAGAGAATAAAATGTTTTTCTAACAGTTCTAATGACTCTTCAAACAGGATAAATCTGTCTTCTCCTCAGCTTATGATGAACACTTAAGAGAGATGAGCAACATAATCATTTCCTATCCTACCTAATAAAAGAGTAATATGCAAATTAACCATCATTCTGCTTCACAAGCCACGCCCACACACCAATCAGAGTATGCAAATTAACCCAACCAAAATGGCTGCAGCCACAAAAGCATGGGTTTCTCTGGCAATGGAAGAAGCCAAGCTTTCCGCCTGCCCTAGCAGGCCTAAACCTCCACTCCAGGCTACAAAGTTTCAATTGTAGAAAGTAAATATATTCCAGATACCAGGGCCTCTGCTTGGGTTGCTGGGGGGGCATGACTGGCCTGCAAACCACCACAGGCCCCTTACCCAGGCCACTCCACACTCCAAGGGAACCCCCACCCTGATCTGGGACACCCTTCAGGGCAAACCAGCTGGCCCCCACCCAGTCACCAGGCCTCTATCCTATCTAATAAAAGAGTAATATGCAGATTGACCATCACTCCAACACACAAGATGGCTGCCCCCATGTGGTCAAAGATCCTGCCCCCATGTGGACACAAGATGGCCACCACAAGATGGCAGCAGGGAGGGCAGTTGGGAAGCACCAGGCCTGAGAGGGAGGGCAGTTGTGGGTGATCAGGCAAGTAGGGGAGGGCAGTTGAGAGGCACCAGGCTGCAAGGGAAGGCAGTTGAAGGCGATCAATCCTGCAGGGGAGGGCAATTAGGGGTGACCAGGCTGACAGAGGAGGGAAGTTGGGGGCAAACGGGCTGGCAGGGGAGCAGTTAGACATCAATCAGGCTGGCATAGGAGTGGTTAGGGGGTGATCAGATTGAAGCAGTTAGGGGCAATCAGGAAGACAGGCAGGTGAGCAATTGGGAAGCAGCAGACCTGGATTGTAAGAGGGATCCCAGATTGGAGAGGGTGCAGGCTGGGCTGAGGGACACCCCTCCTCCCCACCCCCGTGCACAAATTTCGTGCACCAGGCCTCTAGTTCTCTTATAACAGGACCAGTTCTTGATGAGCACACACCAGCCTGGATAAAAGGCCAAAGACGCCTGCAGATTTGGCAGGTCTCAGTAAGAACTTCATAGGAGTTGAAGTTTACAGAAAGCTGAAGACAATACCACAGAAGGGATTCCTGCATTGAAAGTTCACACTATCACATTTATTCTAAATTCTAAATTTCTAAGTTATTAATCCCACAACCAATCCAAAAGTACATAACATTATTCATGAAAACAGATAACCCCAACAAAAGTTGAGGAACTTGGTGCTGAGGCAACACCAGCGCCCCCATCCTGCACGACCTCCCCCACAGCAGCCCTTGGTGGTGATCAAAGGCTTCTTACCCTCTGGGAAGATGAGGATAGGTAGCTTGCTTTTATCCTGCACGTGCTCAGTTAGTCTTTAGAAGAGAAAAATAAAACAGAGGATCAGGCAGCCTTAGTTTATTATCACCAGAATGCATTTATGAATAACCTACATAGATGTGACATTAGATACTGCATAAAAACTAGTGAACAAATATGACCCTATATTTTATAAACCCCAAATCTAAATCTCACAAAGCTAAAACTCATAAGGACAAGGATAATGAGATGACTACTATTTAATTCATACAATTATTCCATTAAGTGTTAAAGTTTGTATACTGAGGATATTGTACAGACTTGGGGCTATCTGCAGGGCACATCTGCTATGGAGCCTTGCAAAGAGCACCCTCAATAAACACCTGCTATACCAGCCTCGCTAAGCTGGGCCTATATCCACCTGGCTTTATGCCCCGTCCTGAGAGAGGCAGCAAAGGGACTTGAGTGGCGGGTTCACTTGTCCTTATAAAAGATGGTCTCAGTTGGGTCTGGATTCCTTTCATTTACTGCAAAGCTGCTGCCATTACTTGCACCAGATTAACCCTTTTTTCCAGCTTGAAACAGGGCACCACTTTGTTGCATTGCTTTAAGTTTGTTTTTATTTGTAATAATTCACTTTGAGATTTCAAATAGCATATGTTGTTTATTACAAGGGGTGCAAGAAATTAGGTTTAGAAACATTACTATTGGTAAATAATATTAGGGTTTGTATATATTTTTATATTTTATGTTTCAGAAAAAATATTTTTATTATGAAAGCAGTATAAACTCAGTGTAGAAGATACCACAATTCTATTATGGAGGGGTAACTACCTCTAAAATGCTTATTTTCTCTATAACTAACTATAGAACGATAGCATTTTGTTGATTTACCTTTTAGCCACCAGGTGGCGATCTTTCACCTCAGACCGCTCAAACCAGACATGAGGGCAGGCCTTCACCATGGCTCTCTGAATCACACCCATGAGTCCCCCGTGCACTTGACCCACCTAATCTCAGACAAAGAAATAACTGGTAGTAAAGCCATCCCCACACAAATCCCCCACTCTGTGGAGAAAGCCCCAGATCCCACAAGATAACCACACTAACCTCTCACACTCTAACGTTTTATTGATAACCACATTTTATTAAGAAACCACTATTAGACTCCCTGAATCTTACATTTCTCTTTTTAATCACTGATACCAGAGATATGTAATTCAAAACACAGTTGAAAATCCTAAAATGAAATACTGAATGACACCTGTGTAAAGTGCCCCCTGGACAGATTCTCCAATGCCCTGGAACCCAGTACGTTCAAATCCTCCCTCCCTATCTTCCCCCCTTCCATGCCTAATCTCCAGCCACATTTTCAGTCACCCTGCTCAGAATATCTGCTACTTAAGTCTCAAGGAGTTATTAGAAGCCACAGAAAAAAAGCAAAAATCTAAACCGGAGCCCGTACATAACACATGTTTACTTGCTCATAACCTTAAGAAAGAGCTTTAGTGAGGGGTCCAGAAGCCTCCCAGACCTGACCAGTCTCTGAAGTAAGAAGCCTGCCCCAAGATAGCAAAAGAAAGTCGTCTTACCATGGCATAATAGCCATCACTGGCTAAAATGATGACGTCAATAGGAGAGGTATGATTGGCCACACAGATGCCACCGTTTCTAGGCCTGTTTTTCCTGTTTAGAATGTATGCAAAGCAATACAAATCGATGTGAGTTCATTTGGATCTCATCCCTCACCTCAGCTTCACCAACTGAGAGCTCAGAAGAGCTCTGGTTACTGGCTGTAGAGGGCTGTGTTTGGCCAGTGCCACTTTCCTCTGTATGTACCACTCACCTGTCGTGGTAGGTGATGATGGCTGTCAGCGCTCGCACGCAGATCCGGTAGCACATTAAATGAACGTGTTTACTCAGGAACTCCTTAAACCTGCAACAGCAGGACAAAGGTTTTTGTTTTTCTTTTACATGTCAGAAGACTATTACTGACTCAACTATAATATTTAAATGTCGGAACCAGTTCCAGCATGTCCTAATTACAAGAGTTTCATCAAAAGGTTGATGAAGCTTGGGGGGCTCAATAAGGGCTGAGCCACATATGTAATCATCTCCCCCAAACCTGAATAGGATAATCGACAGCTCAGGGCATCTGAATCTACATGTCATTGCCTCCTGTTGGCCAAACACCTCAACAGCTGTAGGCTATTCCCCCAATCTGATGATGCTTCTGTAAACCCTACCCTTTGAAGTGTATTATCTCCACCTTGCCTTAGGACAAATTGTGTTAATGAAAAGCACAGGTCCTGAGTCAAGGAGAAGTCTTTAGCTCCTTTAGCTGAAACTCCTATGACCCCAATGCCTCTCAACAATATCTTCCGTCTTTGGACTCCTTATTGAATCTATACACAGCCTTTCTCCAGATTGCTGAACCCTTGCTTAATGCTGGGACAAGAACCCCGGCATTTAACTATTACAGCCTACAGTCCTTTATGACTGCAAAGTATTCTGTATATTAGTGTACATGGTAAAACCCTATAATTTATTAGCATCTTTATGCCCATATATAAGGAGACAAAGCATGATGAGAATTGTTAACTTCACCTAAGTAAAGGGTTTAGAATTCATAGCCCTAGAATTTCCTGCACAGGTTAGTCTACTAAATTCCTTTCCTTTCTGGTCAATACCTAGAGGCAAAGAAAGGACAGAGTCCAACTTCCTACCCAGCTAGGGCAGAGGAGAAGGTTATCTGCTCCAGAATTTCCCAGAAAAAGCAAATTTTTCCTTCAGAGAACAAAGCAGCCCTATCTACAGTTCTTATCCGCTTACCAATTTATTAACACAGTAGAATGCTTAAAGGCAAACGACATGCTGTAAAACTTGCTAACACTGGACTCTACAGTTTGTGATTTCTCTCCTTTGTCTTTAAATGAGAAGAGTGTGACGGTTAGAGGGCAAAATTGGTTTAAAAAACAAACAAACAAAAAAAAACAACAACAACTATAGTGCTGATGCCATTGTTATCATTGGGTTATTTCATCCCAACCTAAGATTCTGTGGCCTGGCTGCACCCAGAGAAGTAGTCTGGCCTTTATTATTGTAGCCACGTTCCAGAACTAACCACCCCTCAGCCTGGGCACTCATTCTACTCACCTTCCATTGGGCAAGTATCCCACCACAGTTGTGCCCACCACCAGAAGGCTAATCCCTGTGAAAGCGAGAGCGATCCTGTAATGAGAAGACAAATTAAAACATAGTAAACAAATCCTTGCACCACATACAGAACTGAATGTGGGATATGAAAGCAGCATCATGAAACCACCCCCAAGACCCGATCACCTAGGACAGAGGTGGAGAACATCTGGCCTGCAGACCATAGAGACCTGATAAATCATTTGGTCTGGCCCTGTCAAGGCATTAGGGGTGAGTTAATTAAATATTTGACCAAATATAGCAGGCTAATTTTTAAGCTGATAATTTGGTATGGCCCACAAATGATGTTCTAAATAGCCAACTTGCCCTTGGCAGAAAAAGCGTTCCCCTGACCTAGACTGAGTTCTATATAGAAACTTGAGTAGGCCTATCACAACCAGAGATCATTTTGATTCAAAACTGATAGCTACAATGGATTTGGCTCTGAGCTGACACTATTTCCTCAGGCATCAGGTTGCCAGAATGATGTCAAATCCTAACATTGGTTGGCTGTTCTGCCCGCAGGCATCTGCTGTCCTGCTGTCTTACCCTTCCCTTTGGCCTTAAGGTGGCAGAAGCACAGCTTTTCTGTGAAGCAATAGGAAGTAGAGCCTGAAGGTACCAGCATCTGGCAAAGCACACGGTACAGAGACACCAAGATCAATATTGCCTCTGTACTAGAGGAATTAGCCCTGCCCAGGGAGGAGTGGCCAGAGAGAACATCATGTTCCCTTCCCTGTGTTTTGTTCATCCAGACAAGAAATTGGTCTTTAGAAACCTAACTATTTCTGTCTGATACGCAGAAAATGAAGGTCTTAAAAGGATGATCACCAGTACCCTTCCAAGGGTCAGAGGGACTGGCCAATGAAATAATCCTTTCTTTTCTAAAATGGGAAAATAAAGCAGGGAGCCAAAGGTAAGCAGATCAGGCAACAGAAGATCAGGCCCTTAGCCTATCTAATAAAAGTAATATGCCCCCATGTGGTCAAAGATGCTAGGCAGCAGAAACTCAGGTCTTTTAGTGCCCCTTTAGGCCCTGCTCTCACCTGAGAGGCAGGAGGAAGCAATACCGAATCAGCACTCCCAAGCCCCATAGGATAGTGAGCCGAAGACTGATGTACTGGAAGTTGTAATTGGTTCTGCTCAGCAGATTCCAGGACTCCAACTCCTCCGCTGAGAATCTCTTTGTCACCTCATCATCCATAATGGTCTCCATTCCTTTCCGGCAAAAGTAGAAAATGTCAGAGAGCTCAAACTCTGGAGTATTATCCAGAGCCTTACTGCTACCACTTCGACGAATTTCTTTGATCTCTTCTTCTAGTGAAGTGGGATCTTTTGCAATAATTCCTGCAAAAGAGAACACTCGTCAAGCAGCGTGCTGGGAGAAAGCATGTTTAAGATGCTCAGAGTACACAGCCCACCATTGACATAGTGAAGAGTCTGTGGGATATAAACACCCAGGAACATATTTCAAAGGGAGGTTTTAGGATAAGGACCAAGACCCAGTCTTACCATTGGTGTAGGGCTTGTAGAGTTGGTGGTTCTTCTCTTTGGCTCCTCTCTCCATTCTCAAGGTTGCCCACTGCAGAGGGAAAATGGAAACAATAAAGAATAAAATCCTTTCTTTCAGGGAACACTGCCACTGCCATTCTGTGAAAGCCTCAAGCCCTGTCACCTGAGATCAGATTGTAGACAAGAAAGCACCCATTGTGAAAGTGAGCTTAAAGCTCTCCTCCTAGAGCAGGCCTCCTGCTTGATAACTAAGACCAAGAGTTAAACTGCCTACAGGAAAGAGCTGTAGACTGAGGCCTGGGTAAGTTTCTAGCTTCTCACTTCATAATCTGTCGCAGGTTCCTTAAGGAATTCCCTAGCTGACTGTACGTGGACCTCACACATTCCTTCTTTACTGCCAAATAGTAGCTATTCACAAACAGCAAAATCAAGTTTTCTTTTACTTTTTAACTTTTTTTTTGTAAAAGCATTTTTTTCATTATAATATTTTTGTTTAAAGTATTACATGCTTCCTTTTCAGCCAATTGACCCCTACCCCCGCCACCCCCATCCCCCCAGAACCAAGCCCCTACTGCCCCAGAGTCTGTGTCCATTAGTTATAGAAGTCCTTTGGTTGATCTCTAACCACCCCATCCCCTTGCCTTCTCTCTCCAGTTGGAGAGTCTGTTAAAATCAAGCATTTTTAAAGTTATTGCCTGCCACCCGATGCTGCCTATCTCCCAAATTATTCCAAGAAAGCGACAATTTTAGTTTTCAAGTAGAAAAATGGATTTAAATTATATGTGTGGACTGTCCATTCATCCTCTGAGTAAACTTTTAACAGGAGAACCCCACTTAATATATAAAGTCCTAAGATGGCTCATAGTTAAAAAACAAAAAAAGTGTTAAGAAAAAAGACGAATATTTTGAAATTTAAAAAACTTGACACATATGTTCCTTAATCACTCATTCCAACACTCTAAAAGTTGGTCTTTTCTACCTATAGAATGATAGCATGTCAACATCCTACATCACAAGATCATTTGACCAGGGATGGGGAATAACCCTTTTTTTTCTGCCAATGACCATCTGGATATTTATAATATCATTTGCAGGCCATACAAAATTATTAACTTAAAAACTAGCCTGCTATATATCTGGTCAAACATTTAATTAGCTACCCCTAATGCCTTGGCAGTGCCAGACCAAATGATTTATCAGGCCGATGGCCCGTTATGTTCCTCACCCCTTAGACAAATGAAATTATGTACACGACAGAACTTGGACAACTGAATAAAACCCTAACTGTCCTCATTACTAAAATAAGAATTGACTCTGGAAGAGATCTAGAAAAGAATGGCTCTTCCTGGAGCCTCTCTTCCTTCATTAAAATCTTTTGTTTTAAATATTTTTATTGATTTCAGAGAGGAAAGGAGAGGGAGGGAAACATAATGAGAGACAATCACTGATCGGCTGTCTCCTGCATGTCCCCTACTGGGGATTGAGCCCACAGCCTGGGCATTTGCCCTGATGGGGACCTGAACCCTAACCTCCTGGTTCAGTGGTTGGCAAACTACGGCTTGTGAGCCACATGCGGCTCTTTGGCCTCTTGAGTGTGACTCTTCCACAAAATACCACATGTGGGCGTGCACATACAGTGCGATTTAAACTTCGTGGCCCATGCACAATAGTTGGTTTTGGGCCTGGGTGAGTCTATTTTTAAGAAGTGGTGTTAGAACACTCAAAGGGCCAAAGAGCCGCATGTGGCTCCCAAGCCGCTGTTTGCCAACCGCTGTCTTGGTTTATAGGTCAACACTGAACCACTGAGTCACACCAGTCAGCCTCCATTAAACCTTTTAACTAAAGAAAGAGAGTCAGAGGCTGGGTCTCTCCCACTATCAAATAATGAGAGGTGAAAACATTAGCTCACTTATTAAGTACAGGAATATATTGTCATCAAATAAAAAGTTATGTCCATGGTGATCAAAGAAATGGAGCAAATATCTTAAAAGGTGTCTTTCAAACTTCTGTTTCCAGTTATGCAAGGTGGGAATGAACCCTCTCATCCCATGACACAGCAAAATCCACAAGGCCGAAAGCATTTGGTGTGGATTTTTTCTGGCAGAGCCTGAAGTATTAACAAGACTGCATGGTCTAGCAGAACCAAAAGCAGGACACAAGTTTAATCAGTGATCTGACCTCATCTGGAAATTTCTTCAAACTCCACTGTCTAAAAAAACAAAACCCCGAAAGCTTACAGAGTCACCCACTCAAAGACAGGTCTACGGCAAGAAAACTTTCCTAACCCATTTTCTGTATTTCAGATATTAAGCCATTGATGTCTTTTGGCTCTATGCATAGATGACCTCTTCTAGAAGACAATATAAATATAACTCCTAAGATGGAGAAAGGTGAATTTCATCTGGGGATTTCATCTAAGGAAGAGGTGGGTAAGGAGCAAGAAGTTTATAAGCCTGGCATACAGAGATCACTCCATCAGAGTTTAAAGGGCTTTGCACTTTGGCCAAGACTTTGTATTTGTACTGCAAGCACAAATAAAAGTACACAATCAGAGTTGGTTCTGTACTGACAATTCTGATACTCAGATCAGGAGGCAATAGGCAGGTAACACATGAGCTCAGGCCTGCTGAGCATTAGGGTTTATGTCTGTGAGGACTGCTTCACTATGCAAAATTTAAGATGGCTGTGGTTTTTGTTCATTGGAAAGGGACTGCCTTAAATGTCTCCTAGCTCTGTCATAAACATCCCCTTCCCCTCCTACTTTGTACATTACAAAATGCTTTTGTTTAGGAAAGATCTGTCCAGTCACAAGAGTAGGGGAAGATGGCAGGAACCCGGTTATTAGCTCAGAACAGCCTGCGAATGAATTGCTAGACTACTTCACCCCCTGAGAGATGCCATTTACTACACTGTCAGTATCAGACTGCTAAATTATTCCCTTTTCAGCTTCTAGCAGACAGAGAAGAAACCATTTAAGGACATTAACAATGCTGCACTCTTAGGTGACATTAAACCCAATGCAGACCTTGGCAGGTGAAATGCCGACCCTGGCCTTAGACGTGCAGATGGTTCGATGGTGCACTTCTGTTGGGCATTCATTCTATTAGGAACTAATTTAGGAACTAATCACATGAGTAAGGTCTAACAGTCTTAGCAGAAACCTTAACTAAACTTAACTAATCTCAGCAGAAACCTTCCCCTCCTTTTCAGTCAGCTTCCATTGCATTTGCCTATGAACTAACTAGATATACCCAAAGACTCAGACCTTAAAAAAATCCAGCTCCCATTCTCTGAACTTCTAAGTCCCATGCAAAGGCTACATCTTTTAACATCTCTTTTCTCCTCCTGCTTCAGCTATAACCTTCAAATAAACTGCCAAATCTACAAATCTTGACTGCACCAAAGTGCCAACCTCACAATCCCAATTGCCTGCTGGTCCATCCGGGTTGAAAATTAAAGGCAACACAGCTCCTTCCAAGCCCCAGAGTGCGCCCTCCCTCCGCTCTCCTCCTGGGGTCCTGGGATCACTATTCTCTGTCACCCAAGCTTTCAGGCTTCCCATCTGTCACCAACTCCTACCAAGGCTCCCCTGCGGCTGTCTTTCCCAGCTGCCTCTTGTGTCATGCCACTCGAATCTTTCTCTTGCCTACACTCCTAATGCACAACAGCTCTTTAATTGCACTTCCCTTCCTCCAACCTATCCGAACATATTCTGCCAGTCTGTGTCACTTCCTTGCCCAAAACCCTTTAATTGCCCTAGCCAGTGTGGCTCAGTTGAATGGGCACTGTTGCCAGTTCAATGCTCTGTCAGGGCACACACCCAGGATGTGGGCTTAATCCCCAGGAGTGTCTGCAGGAGGTAGATGATAAATGTTTTACTTTCACATTGATGTTTTTCTCTCTCTCTCCCTCTCCCTTCTTCTCTATAAAAATCAGTAAGAAAGTCTTAAAAAAAAACAACAAAAAAAACCACAAAAACCTTCAATAGCTTCTCAATGCCTAAGGAAATAGTCAGCTTTATAGTCTACCTAATTCCCTCCATGCACCCAACGTTTTTGTTCTACAGAACTATACACTATCTCTAAAAAAGACTACTTTCTCATCTGTACGTCTAGAATGATTTTGGCTTTTTAAGATCCAATTCAAATGCCAACATCTTATGTGAAATGTTATCTACCCAATTCCTGCAGTCAGAATGAATCGTGGTCTGTGTATTTTAGTTGGCATCACATTATGAATCAGTTATGCATGCATATATATTTGTCAAATACCTTGAGGGGTATGAGCCAGAACCTACCCATATTTGCAACTCCAGCAGAATCTGAGTGTCTTGCACTTCGTAGGCAGTCAATAAGGCTGCATTTAACCAACCAACTCCCAGTTATTTCTTTTCATCAAGAACCATATGAAAGATAAACCTGAAATAAAACCTAAAACTACTTCCAGTCACCTACCCCACCACTATCATATTCTCTTTGATTTCGTCTTCTAAGACTCAAGGTTATGTTAAAATCACTCTTCTCACTGGGGCAGGGAGGACATACCGTATCTGACTAAAATGACCTTTTTCACTTATAATCATGTGAAGTGGTTATTACTACTCCCTTTCTCTAGATGAGGAAGCCGATGGAAAGTCTGATGACTTAGATCAAATTTAGGAACTGGTAGGAAAAGCCCTGGCTTTAGAATCTCTTGCCCGTCCCACCCATCCCACTACCCGTACAGTCTATTCCATTTCCTCATGGTTCCTATGACTCCCCACCAATCAATTCCACTTTGGAGTTTAGTGTTGATTAGATTAAAACTCTCCCATCTTCTCTAACCTGACCTGATCAACCCTTTCCATGTCAGGCAAGAAAATTCAGGCCATTTGTTTTCATCATCTTTCTCCTTTATAACCAGGCTTTCTTCTCTCCTCCTGCCCAAATCATTCTCAACTTAGTTGAAAGTCCACTCCTAGAAATTCTACCCCAAATAATACCATGACTGTCTTGAGGGCAGATATGAAGCACAAACATTATAAGACTAAAACATTTAACATACTGCCCTCTGCACATGAAGATTTTCCATGACCCAGCATTAATAGGACTGAACTAAGTCTTCTAGGAGAGGGTACAGAAAAGACACTGACCCATTCATATTCTATCTTCCTTCTTTGGCAGGTATCATATCAAGGTTCTTTTACACAGAAAAAGTAACTAATCATAAACTAGTTACAAAGCCAGGACTTACTCAGTTCCACCAAATGCACAGGAATATGGACTATTAGATATCCACTTTTAATAATCTTTATGAAAATTATCTATCGATAGTACAGTGCAAAAATGGCTGATAAAAAGAAAACATAGATACAAAATTTTATGTACATGCTGTTAACACAACCATAAAATATGAATGTGTATTGCCAAAGGCTGAAAGGTAATGTAAAAAAAAAAAGTTAAGGTGTTGTAAACTGGAGAACATGAAAAAATGTTTAAAAATCTTTAATATTATATTACCTATCTGGTTATCTATTGCTGCATAACAAAGCAGCCCACACCTCAGTAGCTGAAAACTACCATTATCCATTTTGCTCAGGAATCTGCAATTTGCAGAGTCTGGCATCAACTGGGTGGCTCACAGGCTGAGGGCTGGGCCCTCCAAAGACTTGCTCATTTCTGCATGTGGCACTGATGCTGGTTGCCAGAGGCCCACTGGGACTGTGAGCTGGAACAACTACACATGGCCTGCGCTTCCTCACAATAACGGCATCTGGGTTTCAGGGGAAAGCATCCCAGAAGCCAGACAGCAGTTACAATCACTTTTCTAACCTAATCTCACATGTCACACAGCAACACATACACCATATTATATGTGTGAGAAACAAGTCATAAGGCAGATTTCCATTCAAGAGGAAATCAACCAGACTCCATCTTTTGATGGCAGATCCTAGAATCACTTGGGAAGCTTTTAAAAATGCCCACCCAGACCAATAAAATCTGAATCTCTGGGAAGATTATAGCGCTCCCAAATAAGTACTTTTAAAATGCTTTCTCAGGTGATTCAGATGTATGCTGGGTGAGAGATACCTACAGAATTAAGATGGTCTTTGAGATTTCTTCCAGCAGTAAAGTTATGTATATCAAGTTATATGTAGGAGGGTTGATATATATAACACTTTGCAGCTGGAAGAAAGCTCAGAAGAGGCTAAATGAAGATCTCTCCTCTATTATAAAACACGCACAGTATAGGTGTATTTTACATGTATATATGAATGTACAGATATATGTTTTCCATGATCTAAAACCAGTTTGGCCAAATCCAACTTATATCTAATATTACTGCTGATAAAAAAAAACAAAAACAAGGCATTAAGTTCTTACTGTCTATTAAGATCAACTCAGAGCAGTAACCTTTATTAAAGGGAGAGCCACCCTATGCTCTTGTTGATACATATCAGTTCTTCCTAGCCTATCCCTTACTCTAGCTTGTCACTAAATATCGATTACTGGTGATGCTCAACAGGAGCCACAGGGTCCGTTGAATGCCTGACACCACCTCTTGAAAATAAGAGGTGAAAATATAGTTCTTGAAATTCTAAATCCTGAGGTCAAAAATGGGTACATACATACATACACACATTATTTCCATTATCATTTCTAAATCACTGTGTGCCAAACCAGTGATTTTCAAGATGTGGTCAGCAGAGTATCTGATGGCATAAAATTACCTGTCCTATGAATTAACCCAACAATATATACTTAATGAAATTTCCTTTGTTAATTATATACACAAGAATGTACATTTAAAAATATAGCCACAATAAGAAGGATTCACCTGGCTATTAACTTTTGAGTATTAATTTTGGGAAAATATTTTCAAAATGAATATACATGGGTTCTAGGCCTTTGTCCCACCCAAGTAATCCAAGTTAAAAAAAATTTAGCTACTACAAAAGATAGGCTGATAATTCCTCTTTCTATGTTTTAAAAAATAAGGATTTCCATAGAGCTATGAATTAGTCACTTGCTTATAAACTTGAATAAAAGCTAATCATCTGTTGTCTTCTAAAAGTTTATGAGCTGTTCTACTGATTCTATACTAATATATGGTTTTTCCACAGTGGCAAAATGGCATGGGTAGTTAAGTTCTATGTTTCACATGAACCCTGGGCTCTACTTTAGATTTTCTTGGATTGAAATTTAAGAAAATGAGATTTCCTGGCTTATTAAAATAAACACTATACATTAGTAACTAGTTCAAAGACTGAGTAGATTACCACTTCTCAAACTTTAATGTGCATATGAAGCACCTGGATCTCACTGAAATGTAAAATATAATGCAGTAGGTCTGGGGTGGGTCTGAGCCCTCCATTTCTAACCAGCTCTTTGGTGATACTCATGCTGCTGGTCTCATACCTCTTCCTGAGTAGCAAGGAACTTAATAACCCAGGAGACGGTAAGTCATGCTAAAAAATTGTATCACTAAAAAATAGGTTTCAAACAAGTTCATGTATACATAGCAGCACTATTAACCATAGCCAGGTGGAAACAGTCCACCAATAAATAAGCAAATTATGATATAGATACAATAAATTATTATTCAGCCCTTTAAAAAAGTACTGAAACATGTTACAATGTGGATGAATCTCAGAAACTTTATGCTGAATAAATGAAGTTTGCCAGGCACAAAAGAGAAGATTTTATATGATTCTATTTATATAAAATATCCAGAATAGATTAAGTCTAGAGACAGAACAGGCTTCTTCCTGGTTTCTAGGAGCTGGGAGAAGAAAAACAGGGGTAACTGTTTAATAAATATGAGGTTTCCTTTTGGAGTAATGAAAATGTTGTGGAACTACAACATTTTATAACACTGTGAATATAGTAAATGTCACTAAATTGTCCACCTTATAATGGTTAATTTTATATCAATTTCACTTCAATTCTTAAAAATTTAAAAAAATCATACTCTTATAGAAATATTAAATATCAAAAGACAACACCTAATATTCAACAATATATATTTTAAAAGTTCCCACTGTAATATAATATTTCATAGAGTTCACCAATTGAGTCTCTATTTCTTCATTGATAAAATGTAAGTACTCTGTCCACTGCAAAATTAAAAAGCAGCAAAGAAAAATGAATGAAATTATTCTGTAAGCCATTATTAGAAATTTATGAACAAATAATACTGTATTGTTTTTACTATTATGAGTGCATTTCTCAAATTATACATGATCTCAGTTGTGGAAAATACATCAAGATTTGGTAATGAATGAAAACAGATGTTGCTAATAAATTACCAAATCTTTGGATAGATATTAAAAATCCTGGGCCCTTGCCCTGGTAGCTCAGTAAGAGTGTTGTCTCAATACACCAAGGTTGCACGTTCAATCCCATCAGGTCACACACACAAAAATCAACCAATGAATGCATAAAATAAGTGGAGCAACAAACTGATGTTTCTCTCTCTAAAAATCAATAAATACATTTATAAAATAAAAGTCCTGGGGCACAGAACAGCTTCAAGGACATACACTTCTCACCCATTTCTTTTACATTATGACCAGTTTGGTTTAGCAGTATAAATAATTAGGTTCTGACATATGTTAAGGAATTTATTATCCACCTTCTCTATCTTTAAGAAAATAAAACAATTCATCAAATGCCCCTTTTCATTAATGATTTTGGTGTGAAATGCAGGAACCTATTTAAAATAAAAGTTTGAAGGAGAGAAAATACTCTCTCAACTTATCAGTGAGGGAATATTTCAGCAGCAGCTTTGTCTCTCAGTATCTGTTACATAGGAAGTGGGTCGTGGCAGCAAATTTTTCTTTCAATTTTAAACTATTCTCTTTGAAATAAACACGGAACATGCAGACTTAGTTAGGTTCCTTTGCTGAGATGAATCAAACATACAAGTACCTTCCCTCAAAAGAAAGATTGCTAAAGGCTTTCACAAATACATATTTAGTTAGGTATTCTTTTCACTCAAAATGCTACTTCCCACTCTCCCAACTTTCTCAGATCCAAAAGGGATAACAATCAACCCAAAAAGAACAACTCTTTTCCTCCTCTGTGAAGTTGTAAACAGCACAACTCACCGCAAAAATTTTTAACAAAGTTTTCATGTAGAGCTTTCGAATACCAAAGGAGACTCCAAAAATAGCGGGGACTATGATGAAAACGAGGAGGAGGGTGAAGAGGACAGTCAAGGAGATGCCCAGAAGGTTGACAATCAGGCTATCAAAAGGCAGCAACAGGAACATGATGGAGGGTCCAGGCAAGGCCATGCCCTCCTCCCCAAGAACAAAGCACAGCCTTCAGATGGTCCTCTCAGACAGCACCAGCCGGGGAGAGAGCAAGTTCCCAACGGAAAACAAACTCCATTCCAACGTTCACATCATAGAGAGAATGAGAGGGGAATGATAATAAAAAGGGCCACAGGAGGCAGCCCCAAAACACTCGATCTCCCGGGAACAGACGGGCTTTGGAGGTGAAAGAGGCAGGATCAATCTTCAATGTGAGCATTTGAGTCCAGGCTGACTTTCTGTGACGGTGAGCAGCGAGGGAGGGATCTCTGCTCTGCTACCCTTATACTACTTCCAGAGTTTTTCTTTTTTCCTGCCCAAGAGCATTTAGCAGATAAATCTGTCCTGAAGATCTGTCATTGCCAGAAATACCAAGAAGAGTTCAACGTGGTGCCAGAAATATCCTGATAACTCCTGTGGAGGGAGGTGACTGCTGGCACTTCACACAGAAGGCTACTGAACTTGAATATGTAGAAATTAAATAACTGTTTTACTTAAAATTCCTTCATAAGCTGAAAATTGGTTCATTGTAGAGAGTTCATATCTGGCCCCATTCTTCCTCTCTAGAGGCTCCTGGTGCACGCTGCTTCCAGGACCCTCATACCTGGACAGCTACAGTCTTTGCCAGCAGCACACAGATGCTGGCACAGAATGTCTCATGCTGCCTGTGGAGAGTGTAATTCCAGACGCTCCTGGCATTGGTTTCCTCTGAGTAGTCTTCTCCCTAAGGCCCCCTTTTCTCAGCGGTGTCCGGGGTTCTTGGCAAAAAGTTGCTTACATGCTGCCAAACCTGGGGAGTGGAAACAGAAACACCGTCAGTCACACAAATCCAGAGTACACACGTCAATATGCTTTGGGATGGGAGTCTGTTCGAGGATTAACCTAGAGTCAGTGTCAACTTCTCAAGTCATCAGGGTCAAAGGGAATGAGCAGAGCAACAGGTGGCAGACACAAATGTGGGAGAAAAACACACACTGGATTATATCCAATGATATAATCTGTGACCAATCAAACTTTCTGAATACAAAACCTATGGATATAAGGCACATCTGAAAAGACAGAGTGGGTATACTGTGAAAAGTAAATGTCCCTCCTACTTGTCCCCCAGCTACTCAGAGTTCTTATCTAGGTACAATCACATTATCAGCTCCGTATGCTTCCCACTATTCTATGCTTATACAAGTAAATCATAACTGATCTTTTCTATGTGCCCCCAGTCTGGCAACCATCATGAAGGCATACTATGAACACTGCTCTTCACCTTGCTTTTTGTTTTGTTTTGTTTTGTTTTGAGCTCAATCTATCATGCAAGAGTGTTTAATCAGCACATATACAGCTCCCTCACTTTTTACAGGTATACTGTTTTTAACTGTAAGAATAGTTAACTGGTTTTCTGCAGTTGGACACCAATGTTTCTACTTTTGTGCTGTTATACATAATGTAATGAATAACCATGTTGCATACATAACTTAGCACACAAAATGAACAAGCAAATATATTTTCTTGATAAGTTCCTAGAAAGGGAATTTCAGGGGGAAAGAAAATATAGAGTTTTAATTTCATAAGATACTGTCACTTTTTCTATATTGAGATTAAACTCCTCCAGCCTAACTCCCCATTCTGACCATTCTTTTTTTATCTAAGACTATTTTTAGAGCAGCTTTGCATTCACTACAAAATTAAGAGGTAGATACTGAGATTTCTCTTGCCCTCCACATATGTAACAGCCTCCCCCATTTTCAACATCCACCACACAGGTGTATTTGTTACAGATGATGAACTAACATTAATATATCATAATCACCTGAGTCCATAATTTACATTGCAATTCACTTGTATATCCTATTGGTTTTGACAAATGTATAATTACGTGTATCCATCGTTACAGTATCATAGAGAATATTTTCACTGACCTAAAAACCCTATGCTCTGATTATTCATTCTTCCCTTCCCCAACCCCTGGCAATCAATAATCTTTTTACTGTCTCTATAGTTTTGCCTTTTCCAGAATATAGTTGGAATCATATTTTGCATAGCCTTGTTACACTGGCTTCTTTCGCTTAATATAGCCACTCCTTTTTAGAATTCCACTATTTCAAATATCTTACAAAAGTATTAGTTTTATATTACTCATCCCTAACCACAATTTACCAATATGAGTCTTGAACTTGGGAGCATCTTATCAAGCCCCTCTACAAACATTTTGGCTTCACACCAATTACCTTCAGGCTCTATTTCAATATATTAAGAAGTTCAAGAATGAATGAACAGATAACTGAAATTACCTTAAATTTTGTCCAGTGCTTTATAGAACTCAGCTTTCACATGTGATGTTACAACCTGTCAACACATATTTCCATTTTACCAATTAGGAAACTAAGCAAGGTAGACACAGATTCAATTCTTCTGACTCCTAACCCATTACTGCTCCCATCATATTCCCACACATCTAGTGATTAAAAGACATGATAGTTCAGTGGCACTGAGTCACAAATACTAGTCCCTGCATTAGATACTCAACATCGTCCACTTTCACATTACCATTATTACTGCTAACACTTGTCAAATACTAACGGCAGGACAATGAGCTAATATAATAAGCATACTATATAAACTATGCTCACTTAATTCTCACAACAACCCTGTAGTGGAGTTATTATCGTCACTGCTATTTACAGGTGAGGAAACTGAGGCTTAGAGGATAAAGTAAGTTACTCAGGGACAAACAGCTATCGGGTCTAGTAATAATTAATGTCGTTTTAAAACATTCGTTTAAAATCTTGCTTGGCGTTGACTTGTATTGACATAACCTTCAAACACGTGGTATCTACAGAACGTGTGAAGTGCAATTAACAAGTTTTGCTTGAAAAAGTTTGTGTTTGGTTTGGTTTTTGTTGCAAAACTAGGGCTAAGAAGATGGCGGATGAAGAGCATATTCGGCACTGCATGCTTTACCAGTTCCAATTAGGAAGAAAAGCAAGTGAGGCTGCAAAAAACATCTGTAGTGCTCTTGGTCAAGATGCAGTTAGCGCCAGAAAATGCCAGCATTGGTTTGAGAAATTTCACGAGGGAAATTTTTCGTTAGATGACTAGAGTGGTCGAGGCTGTGTGTCCAATTTTGATCAAGAAGCTCTTCAAGCTCTTTTGGTGCAAAATCCTCAAATTACCCAACAAGAGCTTGAGACAATTTTCAATTGTTCACAAAAAACAATTTCCAATCAATTGCGTGCACTTGGCAAAGTCCAAAAGTTTGGAAAATGGGTTCCTCATGAGTTGACCGACGACAACCGTAATCAAAGAGTCACAATTTGCAGTTCGCTCCTCTCTCGTCAAAACCGTTTGCCGTTTTTAGAGCAAATTGTTACCGGAGATGAAAAACGGGTGTTGTATGTTAATTTGAAAAGGCGGCCTCAATGGTTGGACAAAAATGAGGCTCCGCAGCCCATGCCAAAACCTGACTTGCATGCGAAAAAAGTGATGTTGTGTGTTTGGTGGAATTTTAAAGAATTCTTCATTATGAACTTTTACCATCTAACCAAACCATTACAAGTGCAGTGTAGAGTGCCCAATTGGAAAGGTTAGCCCAAGCTTTAAGAGAAAAAGAACCCGCGCTGATTAATCGGAAGGGCGTAATTCTTCACCACGATAACGCACGACCGCATACTGCAAGAATCACTGCTGAAAAACTGCGCCAGTTGGAATGGGAAGTTCTCCCTCAACCTGCATATTCTCCTGATATTGCCCCTTCCGATTACCATTTGTTTCGTTCTTTGCAAAACTTTCTTCTTGGAAAAAAGTTTAATAATGAAGAATGCCTCAAAAATGCATTGACCGAATTTTTTGCATCAAAATCACAAGAATTTTACAACAGAGGATTAAAATGCTTCCTGAGCGTTGGGCACAAGTAGTAGAAAGCAACGGCAACTATATTGTTGATTAAATTTTGTTGTATTGTTTAAATAAATTCGATTTTAAAAAAGTATTAGAAAACGACGTTAATTATTACTAGATCTAATAGTAAGTGGTAGAGTAGAAATTTGAACACGTATATCTGTCGTAGAGCCCCTGCTCTTTAACCACTAAGCTCTCCTTTCTCCCAGACTACCCTGAAATAAGTTAACACTTCCTTCATGCCAGTCCTGCTCTACAGAACTTCTGGTGATCAGAGAAAAACCACAAGGCAAATCTGGACTCATGTATCAGAATTTGGTGTTCTTCTCAGAATCCAAAGAACAAACCTGCTCTTTCAAAAACTAGCCAAACTGATTATACATGCCAGATTTCTAACTATATACCAACAGAGGTTCAGGAAGTTAGATGTATTTCTGAGATTCAATCAACTTAATATGCTGTCTGAGATACTGTATTCCTTAAAACTGTCCATTGCAGCCTAATTCTAGGGTCCCACCTCCATTCCGCCCTTCCATACCACTCACCCTTGCGCAGCACTCCCATGGGAAAGAGGCAGCAAGATCCCTGTCCCAGTGGACAGCTGCTGTCACTCTGGCCAAGGTTACCTTGAGTTCCATGTACCCAAGGTGACGGAAAGTAGGGTCATGACTTTCCCATGCCAGAGTTTCTTTGAATTACAATCAACTGAGAATTTCAAAGATTATGCTGGGTTCATGTCCCCAAAACATTAAACACTTTTAAGCAATCAACTAATTTCTTCACCTATTTCAAGGGTTAGCAAATTATATGATTATGAGCCAATAAAGCTCATGACCTAGGAATTGTTTTTATATCTTTAAAGATTTATAAAAACAAAAAATAATATGTGACAGAGACCAGGGCCTGAAAAGCCTAAAATATTTACTATCTGATCCTTTACAAAAGAGTTTGCTGACCCAAGATCCAGCTGCTCTTCCTCCTGAGAGAAGTGAACTTCCCCTTCCTGTCCCAACCCTCCTGAGTTCTTACTTACTTACCAGTGCCAGACTCCAGAACAGAGAAAAGCCAAACTAGCCAAACAAGTTTTCTGG